TCAGTCCAACTAATAAGCAGTGATAAAAAAGGCCCAATATGGAATCAATAGATAGTCCATTATTAATATACCTAGAAGGCCTACTTAAACCGAGCCCAATATTCAACCAATTTATCTTAGTCTCTCTTGGACTGTTGGATTAACCCACTTAATCAACGGTGGATGGGTTTTACTATAAATATGACCCTTTGCTTTGTTTGGCAGGGGGATCGCCATTTTCTGTTCTCTGTTTTTTCTCTGTGTCTTTTGGAACCTTCAAGGACTTCGTCTTTGTGACTCTTTCTTCTTCTTTGTGTGAGATTTTCTGTTGATTATCTTTGTGATAATCGTGTCCTTGTGTTAGTCTCCTTTGTGTGAGTAAACTGTTGGAAGGGATCTGTCCATTTTCGATTTCAGTGAAGCGACTTTGTGTTTGGGGTTGTGAGGGCTCGTGTTTCTGAGTTCGGTGCCTCTGTGATGGTCTAAAAGGGCGTATGGTCTGAGCCTAAATGAAATATCTAAATCTTGATCCAGTGGTTTAGGTTTTTTCTATAAATCTGTTGTGTATGATTTGGTTATATAAATTTTTCAAATCTTGGATTAATACTGTTTACACCATTCTCATATATTTATTTTTTGTTTGATAAGCACCTACAGCTCTTATGTCTAGACGATTGTAGTGAGTAAATTTGTTCGGTAATCATTATGAAAATTGATTTTTTAACCGTTAGAGAGAAAATTGAATCCCACCTGTGAAAGAAGAAGTCAAAATAACGGTTGATTTCGGAAAGTAACGGGTCAAAAAATTAATTTTTTTAGGAGAAAAATTGGAACCAAACGGAGGGTTAGCACCTAGTGGTAGTGGAGTCCCACTTAAATATATCAAATAAAATTAAGGTGCTTTTCAATTCATTTGACAAGTTTAGTATGAACCTTTGCTGCCGCAAATAAATTGGTGCTCGGTAGCATTTTCAAAAGCCTATTCATTTCTGCTATGGAAAATGACGTGGGCAAATCATTTTAAGAAGCAAATTTATGATAATGAAGAACGAACACGGGTGATTATGACAACAAATCTCAATGTCTGGAAACATTGCCTTACCATTTTTATTGGTGGTGGCTGGGTGGGAAATTGGGGTGGAGGTGGGTGGCGATGGGTTGACGGCAGGGGTAGAGAGGGGGTGTAAGTGAAGAAGAGTATTCCTTTTTCTTTTTCTTTTTTCTTTTTCTTTTTCTTTTCAATGTTTTTGTTTCTCAATTATTAATTATTTTTTATTTTAGCTGTTTAAGTGAAAAAACTTGTTAAGATACATTTTTGTCCTTATTGAACCTGTACAAATATTTGGAATAAGATATAATAACATATTTTGATAAAATTTAGATCAATTTAATTAAATTGGACTTGAATTGAAAATTCGAAATAGCAAAATCATATTTTTAGATTTGAGCTAAATTAATTAATTAGCAAATATTTTTAAAAATATATAATTTGACTTATTTAAAATAAATAAATTTAAAAAATAGGGAGATTCAGTTCTTGATCTAGAACCAAGAATCGAATTAAATCCATCGATCTTTGATTTAGATACTCTTTAGATATTTAATTTAAGAAGAACCTCTCGATTTGATTCATTTTGGATCGATTTGATTTGATTTCAGAGTTTTGTCCAACCCTATTTTTGGATGTGGTTACTAAGCCCTTGTGTGATGGTCTCTAATCCAAACTCCTTTTTCCACGTACTAATTTTTAATCACATTCACGTAATAAAATATTCTACATGTAAATTTTAAAAAAAAATTCTACTTTTAATCATATAATTGTTCAAAAATTCACTATTTAAAACTTTTTTTCCCCCCAAAAAATGACCATCAAACTAGGGCTAATATTATAAGATATGGACCTGATGACACATTTTTAAAAGTTTTGAAACTTCTGTTACAAATTTCTCTAGCAATATTTGTTGCTAATCTGCATTTAAGTAATCGGTGAAAGGAAGGAACAAGTCGGTTAGAATTGCCCCGTCAAGTATCTTTATTACAGACAATTTATAATTGATCAATCTACCTTTTCATAATTGATCAATCTACCTTTTATTATTATATTTTGAAAAATTCATTATTAATCATTATTTTTTATCTATTTATAATTTAAACAAATCATAAGCACTTCCCAAATGCTTGCTGGGCTAAAACAATAACCTCATTTTATTTTTTTTTACACCAACCAAAAGCTTCATTAAATCAAATCATCATGAACATCGTGAGAAATAAAAGTGGGAATATAATCAACCTAATAGAATTAGCCGAGGAATGGATAGCAGCGTTCCAAAATCTAGGAACAAAACAGCATGAACCACAATTCACTTCAAAAAGAACAAGTGCCCGAGGAAACAAACAAAAATCGAAGAATAATGTTGTATGTACATCAAAGTTAACACTCCAGATGCCACCTCCACACAAGGATGGGACCTGTGCCTAATAAAATAATCTTCAATAAGTAAACCAACACTGCAAGAGAAGAGATCATAACTCTTCACCTAGACATAATCAATTATGGGGCAAAAAAAAAAAAGACGACAGAAATTCATTTCATCAAATTCTGTTGCAAAGAGATCCATCTTGCAATGGGGACACTGAAAAGGCATGTTCTTAGTGCTGCCTGGCTAGAAATTTTGAGTTCCTAACCTTATCCACTTAGACATTAAAGGATCAAAAACAAAATGATCATTGCACGTTGTATGAGTAAAACAAATATGGCCAATGGGAGGTCAAGTCGAGAAGCATCTCAACTATGTCCAAGGTCAAGACAGAATTCACAACATAACAAGCCATAGTATAATCAAATCAAAACGTGGCTTTTGTTTATAACAACCCAACAATATAAGTTATCCTTTCGAAGGGATTCAGGAAAGTGGAATACAACCTAATGCAAGTTATAAACACAACATAAGTGGCGATCAAAATGCACTTCACCCACAAAACCTTAACAAAGATAATAGTTCCGTGACGAGCAAATATATTCAACTAACACAAACTTGAAGAACAAAGTGCATATATCAAACAGATTCTGAACATGCAAAAGATATTCAAAATGGGCGAAGAATATGCTACCCTTTCTGACGAACAAAGTGATTATGCTAGAAATAACCTTCGGTATGAGAAAAAATATGGAGATTACTCTCACGAACAGAGATACAAATCCCCTACCTGGAGATTCATATTAAGTGCATGTTTGGCAAAGCTTACAATTGCTTGTAAGTTGGTCAAACTCTATTCTTATTCACAAATTCAACCTACAACTTTTACTTACCTTCGAGCCACAAATTCCCTGGGGCACACTGCTTCTAAGCACTTGAAAGCTTAGCCAAGCAAGCTATAAAAAGCAATTACTGTACAATGGTGAATTGTTGAATCCCTTGGCTAACAAATTATATGGATATATAATAACTACTTCCTCAAAGAGTTGGTCCAAATTCTTTTGAGAATCACCAGGTGACAAATTATTCAACACGCCAAAGGGTCACAATCAAATTTGACTTATGTGAAAATGTTCTTCTACAACTCAGGTGACCTTTCGTAAACTTCTATTGGCCCTCTATGCCACTAAAAAAAAGAAGTTTATTTTAGAACAAGAAGATTTCAGGTATTCTGAGCTTTTAAACAAACAATAATATCAATCACAATTGCGCCATACCAGCAGTAAGTTCACAAAAAACCATGTCCTATGTCCTCACCTCTCTTCTGGCGAACCATAATTATTGATAACTCAGACAAAAACTCAGATGCACATCACCAACGCAAACAGTTTTGAGGGATTTAAACTTCATCTCACATGAAACCTGGTATTCTTTCTTTAGCACCAAAATAAATTATTCTGTGGATAAAGCACCATACACAGTACATATCCATATTTCGTACTAAGAATGATAGGAACAACTGCATGAGACAGTAAAATCACGTCAACCACCCACTGCCACCAAGAACTGAAAGGTGGGACCCTACCAAATCACATGCAGGCATGAAGTGATATTGAATAAGCTGATTGCTATCATTAGCTGGTCAATTTTGAATTTTTTTTTTTTCTGACGGTTTTGGCCAGATAAAAAAGTCCAGAAGAACAAAGCCATTTATCATATTAATTCAAGTCAGCAAAATTTAAGTCCCATCTTAAAAATGTCATCCCAAGGATCCAAATTTAGAACATCCACCAACTTCCTTCTTATTGAACATAAAACAAATAAAGCCAACTTGTCTCGTGTCTAAAATTTGTAAAGGAAGGTCAATCCACAATTGCATAATCATCAAGCAATATGAGGAAAACTTGTTGGAAGCTTAATAGACTGGATTGCTTAATCATCAAGCAATATAAAGAAAACTTGTCGGAAGTTTAATAGACACCCTTTGCCAACTTATTCCCAGCATCTCCAATTTACCAGGGTAGAACCTTGAAAAAAGGTGGAATATAAAATTGCTTTTAACCAGAAAGATCTTGCTCATCCTAAAAAATCCACCAGGTAATGGAGACAATGGTCCTCAAGTAAATGCAACATAGAGCTTGCAGTGTTTTCCATTATATTCACCCTCTGGAGTAAATGTTATACCACCTCTTTTACAAGCAATGAAGGAGACAGCACTAATAAACATGCATTTAAAGGTAACGCATAGTGAACAAGTCTGTTAACCTCTGAAAAATTCAAGAGTTCCCTTACAGCAGAGAAGTACCAAGATGATAAAACATCCTAAATGTAGATCTTTAGATGATCTGCAGAAATACACCAGTACTTCAAAAATTTGTACACGAGTTTCATCTCTTTGAACCCCATAGAGGCTTTATACTAGTACAATGATTCATCTGACACTTGAGAATGATAATTCACACAACCTTCAAATAATTTTAAATCCTGTGGAAGCCTCTTCTCTATTCCAATCTCTGCCATGGACAAATCAGAAGTAACGACAATGCTCCTTTTCCATCAAGCACAGCTCTTATCACCAAGAAACGTCATCTATGACTTTGGAAATAGTGATTTAGACGAACATAATTCAAAGGTAAAATAACAAAGCTTCCATTTGACTTATTTAACCCTTGTTTGAGTCTCATTTTTTTCAAAATTCATTTTCAACCACATTCTCAATAAAATAATATTACATGAAAATCCAAAACTTTTCCTTAATTCTTAACCACACATTCTCCATCAACCTACTATTCCAAAATGTATTATTTCCCACAAAATGGGGCTCAAACAAGGGCATAATCAAACTATTTCAGCAAGAGTATGAAACAACGAAAGGGCATACCTCAATAGTATGATCCGGAACCACCACTTCCCATATAACTACTACCACCCATGCTTCGTCCAGAGTAGAGTGAAGAGTAGGAGCTACCACCAACCTAAAGTTCCAGAATCAAGCATGCATAAGAAAGTACATGAACAATACAACCTCTGAAGAGAAGTAAGATCATAAATAATAAACGTACATCACTTCCTCGGGACATGTAATCACTACCATAGTTTGATGAGTACATCCCACTAACATCACCACCATCATAAGAGCCTGCATTGAAGACAGTGCAAATGTCACGTGAATGACCACCAGTGCATAACAAATATCAGAAGGAATTAATCTTTCTTCGTTTAAAATATGAGATCAAAAGTAGTTCATCCAAATCAATAAACTTGTTAATTTACAACATAGAATTTACCTCCACCATAGCTCATTCCCTGACGACTACTGTAAAGCCCGTGAGAATCTTGACTGGAGAGGGAGCTTCGGCTACCATCATATCCTAGATTTGACCTACCAAGCCTGCAAATCACATAAGAAAGCCCATACGAGAAAGCTGGAGTTAAAAACAAGGGCACAGGAACCTAGAAATTACATTTATGTTTTACAAACATCTACATGATAACAGACCTATCACTGTAAGCATCCCCATATTGAGATGTACTTTCACCAATATCATAATCCAAACGAGCACGCGAATGGCGAACTCCTGCCTCAGCATAGCGTGGAGGAACATCATCCTTGGATGCATAGTCAATGTCAATTTTATATTGAAGATTCGACAAATTTTTTAAAAGATTGAAATTGAAAATGGCATTATAAAGAAATAAGTTCCAAAAGAGAAATTACCACTGCAACATATGGACGTTTTGACCCAGATACAGAATCATATTCACGCACTCGTCCCTCGCGGTAAGTTGGAGGTGGCCTTTCATACCTCTGGCTGTAAGTATCATCAACATAAGCTCTTCTTGCTGCAGTGCGAGCTGTACCACCTCTCGGAAAATCAGGGTAACCGGATCCACGAGGAGAATAGTCGTCCCTATATGATGAGCGTCTATCTGGTGGAACCCTAGAATTATAGTCAGTGGCAGCCCTGCTCCTAGGGGGAAGCTCCTCACGATGACCATAGTCCCTCTTCAAACCACTCTTGGGATAAACTGGAACTGTACAGAAAAAAATTTGTCAGCACTGCTAGAGAAGTTTAGAGCTGAATGGAACTCAAGAAGGTAAATACCAGGTGGTCTCCTGTCGTAGGACCTCGGTAACGGAGCCGGTGGTCTACTCCTAGGAGGCATTGTCAAAGCTGGTCGTCTATCACGTATATTGGCAGGCCTTTTAAAACCACGATCAACTATAGGTGGCAGACGTGCTCCATAGCCTCTTGTCCTGTGAAGAGGGATACTACGCGGAACTGGTCGGCTCCATGGACTCCTAACACCTTGAACCGATCCACCGCCAGGCCGAAAATCTGCTCGAGAACTATGTTTACCTTTGCCTCTTTGGAGTGGTCTGGAAAGCCTGACCCTAACTCTAGCCTGGAGTAAGTAACCATTTAACATCCATTGCAATAGGCACAACAACATAGAAAAACAACTTATCTATAAGGGGAAAATACCTTATTATCTCCTTCACCCAAATCCTCATTATTGATGCTTTTAGCACAATTAACTGCTGCGTCATGGGTATCAAATGTGACAAATCCAAAATCTTTTCTCCTGGCAGATGGCATGTTGCGGGCTAGCTCGACTTTTTCAATTGCCCCATATTTTTTAAGAAGTTTCCGAATGTGATCCTCGTCCCAAGAAGCAAGAAGACCATCCACAAACACAGTTTTAACCTGATCTTAAGATTATGAGTACCGAAAGCATAAAAAGGTATGTCGCATCAAAAAGGAGATACGGATTAAAGACCAACTAATTACCTCCCAAAAGCAAAATACATTTGATTTAATAAATACATGTGTGTAAGAGCAAAGTGATGATATGGTGGTCGGAGATCACAGTAAGGCATAAAACAGATCATTTTAAACCTCAGCCTCTACTCTATTTCTTCTTAGACCATGATAAAGTAAAATATAAATCAACGAGTATAAACCATACAAATATAAGAAACAGCAGATATCTCAAAAAGAAAAAAATTCTAGTTGTTCAAGCTGTTCAAAATGTTATCAGCACCCTGATAGACCACAATTCAAGTGCACAATGATCTAAAATATGATCTAAACCAACAGGTATTGTGAACCTTTTGACTAAGCAGAAAAGCTCTTCCTTGTATGTACCTGAGCCATGATTTCATCACCGGGGTCAATGAAGGAATCTGCAAAGGAAACCTTAGCAAGCCTATCTACTCCAAACATGACATCCCTCTTCTGTAGACGCTTAAAAGCATCCATGGCATCGGATCGCGAGGCGAATTCCAAGAAGGCAAAACCTCGATTCATACCTTTGTTGTTAGCGTCTTCAATCAATGTCAAATCATCAATGTTATCCACACCGTAGTGCTTCAACTTCTCTTTCAACTGGAAGCACATCGAATATCAGTAAGAAGAGACTAACTCCCCAAAATCTAAAGCAAATATATGCTTAAGGATTCCTAATCGACTTACTGCTTCCTTCGTCCATGTCTTGCATATGTTACCCAAAAACAAAGTATCACTGTCTTGACTTGGAGTAACACCACATTGCTTTCCATGAACCTGGAATATGGTTGTCAAAACCTATTCAAGAGAAGTAATAAAAAAGGTAGCTTTGAGAACAACACGATTAAAGAAATACCACTGGGTTCTTCAGCTCAGAACAAGCTCGTCTTGCTTGTTCTGCAGTTGCAAAACGCAAGAATGCAAATCCTTTATTCTTCTTAGTCTGAGGATTCATCATAAGTCTGGCTTCAGTAACCTCACCAACTTCACTGAAGACTGTCCTAAGATCATCCTCAGTAGCATCCTTGTCCAATCCCCCGACAAAAATTTCAAATTCCTTCCGCTTGCGCCTTTCTTTAAAAACTTTGTGATGCTCTTCCGCTTCAGCAGCATCAACCATCTCAGCATGCTCCTCCCCAGCATGCTCATCATATTCCTCGGGCTCAAGTTCTTCCTGCACGTCTTCTATTTCCTCTTCAACAACATCACCCTCTTCTTCTTCACCAATATCCCCCTCCTCGAGTTCTTCACCTACTTTGTCTCCCTCTTCTTGAGCATCTTGCTCAATTTCCTTCTCATCATAATCTACACCAACGTACTCTTCAGGTTCATAGTCAGGCTCATTATCCTCCAAATCTAATCTTTCACCCGTTTCATATTCATCAATAGAATTTTTCACCTCGCCATCCTCTGAGAGGCAAAAAGGAGATACAGATATTCATTGGACAGTCAACAGACTGAAACCACAAAATGTTTAGGACCATTTAACACCAACTTTCTGTAGTTGGTTGTCATTAGCACCAGAAAGGCACATGTATTCATTGTAATAATCATAAAAAAATATTTCTACAAAGTAGATATCTTTCTAAAACAAACAATAAAGCATGCAAGGTTCTGCCAGTGAAAATACTTTCATAGTGAAGGTCGTGGTACAATTAAATGACTTGCAGCAATAATCTTACTCTTTTTTCCCATAAGTCAAAAGAAAAGAGAGGAATCCAAACCCATAATTTTATAAACTAGAAACTGCACCCTACCTTCAGGAGCAGTATGTTACTTTATGCTAATAACTTCTGTTACATTATGCTAAAGGGCCAAAAACAATATGTTACAAAGTATCCGATATGGAGTTTCGAATAATCATTCTGCCAAAAGAACATCATTTACATGTGAAAAAAAGAATGAGAAATTCTAATTTGCCCCCACCATCTTAATACAATCCTCATATTTAATACTTCTGCATGGTTTATGACAGATGAACAACTTCCAGAAAGGAAGGATACCAACAAACCCAACCCAAAAAAAAAAATCATAAAAAACAAATAAAAACAAAACTGCCTTGACAATAAAAACCTAACAATCCATCCTGATTTCCCAATTCTCTCACTGTATATAGCCTGTTGATAGACCTATCTAAGCATAAAATTTAAGAGAACAAAGTCAAACTCTAAAGACCAACATCCCTAAAAGAGGCTTCTTGACTTGGGGAAAAAACAAGTTCAAGATATCCTAAATTTACAACGGCATAATAAGAAATAAAGCAAAGAATCTTTAGGGCGATCCCGATAAAAAAACAAAAATTTGAAATTTTCATATGCTGCCCTAATCAAAGAAAATTTCATCCCCACTTGTACATATAGAGATCTAAAATAAATTATCAAGAAACCAATTGGCCATACTACCAATCATCAAAAGAATTCACTTACTCTGACCAGAAGCGTCTCCGTTATCCTTTGTAGCGCTCTCCTTCTCCTTCGACTCTTTCCCCGGCTCCGTAGCCTTCTTCTCCTCAATCACAACCACGGTATTCTGTTCCTCGACCATCTCTTCGGCTTTCACGTTCGTCTCCTCAGGCTGGACCTGGGTCTTCTGCATCGCCCGAGCCCGTGCAGTCCGCTTCATGCCTGGTCCCGGCGGCGTCTTCTTGGCTGTTCTCGGTGGCATCTTCCGATCAAAACTAACCACTATTCCCAAACAATTTAAGATTTTGAGACCCTGATTAATTTCAAATAGATGAAAAGTTACCTCTGCGTGTATGTGCGCGCAAATTGGTAGACGGGAACCCTATTTGACCAAACAAATTACTTTGTCGGCTGGATTTGGTTTTCAAACAATTAAAAAAAATCTTATTTAATGTTATTCAAAAATAATTTCTTTCAAAAAATATTTTAATCTATTCTTATTTATATTTGTAATTTTAGAAGTAAGTACAAAAAATTGATTATAATTAGTTAAATTAAATAAGAGTATATTGATAAATAAATAAAACAAAACATTCTCAATAAAATAACAATATTATATAATTGAAATAAAAAATAAGAAAAGTCAACCATATAAATAGGTCGGAGGAAGTACATAGAAACTTATAAGCTATAGTCTATTAATTTTAGCATTATTATAATTCAATTTATTTCAATAATATCTTATTTTTCGTTTTTCAATACTTATTTAATTTATTTAACCATTTGAACATTATTATTATGAATTACTTTGTCTACCATTTAGTTATTATCAATAACCATTTAAATATTATTATCATGAACTACTTTGTCAACTATTTAATTATTATCAATGTACATTTTATAATCTATTAAATATCATATCAAGTGAAAATCACTTTTTGCAGAATTTTAGACTTATTATAATTCATTTATTTCAATAATATTTTATTTTTTATTTTTCAATATGTATTTAATTTAGTTAATCATTTAAACAATATTATCCTGAATTATTTTGTTGAGTATATAATTTTCATCAACATACGTTTGATATAAATTCAATTATTTCAATAATATCTTTTTTCATTTTCAAAACATATTTAATTTATTTAACCATTTGATCATAATCTATTAAATATCATAGCAAATGAGAATAACATTTTGCACAATTTTAATTTTATTATAATTCAATTATTTCAATAATACTTTATTTTTTTTATTTTTAATATGTATTTAATTTATTTAACCATTTAAATAATATTATCATAAATTATTTTATCAACTATTTATTTATCATCAATGTATATTCGATAGAAATTCAAATATTTTAATAATATCTTATTTTCATTTTTGTAATATGTATTTAATTTCTGTAACCATTTGAATAATATTATCATGAACTATTTTGTCAATTAAAGTTTATCATCAATATTAGTGACGCACGTGCCACGGCATAATTAACGATGTAATAGCGTGTGTGTGTGTGTATTTGTGTTAGTATTGAAAGACATCTCATATACGTAAAATAATAAGTCTTTTAATTTATAAAACTAAGACAAATTTCAAAATAATAGTCTAATAAGTAAACAAAGGATGATTTATACATTTCAAAAGCTGAATTTGATACAGCATCAGAGTAAAGTTACAAGCTAGAAAAGCATCATAAAGGCAACAATACATTCCTGCTAAGTTCAAACTTCATGGAGGAGGTTTTCTGCAAAAGTAGTGCTACAAAATAAAACGATGTTACAAGTTAAAAGCATCATGAAGTTTGTTGTACATTCGTTGGTCAAATTGTTTAAAGAATTAAAATAAAATCATTAGAAACATCAATGTTAAAAAAAACCAAATATCTAGAAGATAAATTGATATAAGCAAAGGAATACAAAAACCAAAGATGATAAAACAAAACATTACGAAGAGTAAAACAAAGGTGAATACACCTTAAAATTTCCAAAAATGGGTAACAAGTAACAGTGCTTGGCAATTGGTACTGATAACTGATTCCACATGGCATTACCCTTTGTGATAGATTCATATATACCTTTGAACATATAGGCAATACACTGGATTGAACCACTACAAACATATAATTTTCATATTACTTCACAATTTGATATTCCCTTTTTGCAAATGGGCATTTAGTGCAATATACATGCATACCTATGCAATTTTTTTAGACGATGGCCGTATATCCTTAAAATTGACATCTTTACTATCTTTGCTTGCACCAATTGGCTCTCTATTGAAGTCGATGTCAATCTGCATAAAAAGAACAGCTACAACTTAATCTGAGACTCGGTGAAAGATTATTAGAAAGTTATATAAGACCAAGAAAAAGAGATGTCATTTTCCCAAGATTGGGGTGGTATTTCAAACCCATCTGATCTCACATTCAATAAAAAAGGAACGCTTTCACTCTTTCAGCTTCCGATTTAACATAAACTTTCCCAAATATAAGTCTTGCTCATCAAATTTCAAACTTTCTTATTTTTATTGCAGAACTTACATCATAATAATTATAGTAAGTTATTTGATCTATCAAATTAAGTATGAATTGTCCAATAAAATCAAGGTGAGCAAATATCAGAAACATTTTAATCAGTATTGAAATGAAAATAACTCAAAAGAGGATAAAATGATTTATTAAAAGAAAAATTAGAGATACTCCCATTTGCTAGTTATTGTAAGAAATCATTTTATACCCAGTAATACAGTACCTGTTGGTTTTAAATTGTTCTCAAGCTATATCCTGGTGGTTGTACTGCAGTATGGCTTTACTTCCAAACTCAACTGGGAGATTATCTGCATCAATTAGGATCTCAAGAATTCTACACTATTTTTGTTCTTTGGGCAAATAAATTTCAACTAGAATGTTTTTGCATCCAGAAAGTATTCTATAACCTACTATACATGAACATTTCTAAATTAGCATGGAGGACAGATCAAATTTTCACCTAATAAAAACAAAATTGTAGCATAAAAATGTAAAGCTTTCTAATTGGGATTTGCACACACAAATTAATTAAATTTTAGTATGGTTCTAAGTTCTAATCTAACACCCTCCCTTCCCCCACAAAGAATTATGGATTATTCCCTACAAAAAACAACCATTGATCGAGATGAACACGCCAACTGAACTTTTGAAGTTTTTCGAGGATGGGAATAGGATTCATTACAATAGTTAGTTAAGAAGCATCCATTAATTTATTTACTCATAAAATATAGATCGTAAATGAAAATGATCCTTTCAATATTGCTTAATGTGAAATTCAAGATCGAATCAACCAACCTCAATTTATCTTGAAGAAAGTAATTCAAACACAGCTAAATTAGCTACAACATCATTGAGGGGAGTATGGGTCTAATCTATTCGTAAAAGAGTCAAGTACAAAAAGGTCATTTAGTAATTAAGAATAAGATTAAGAATATTGGGCACATTACATGAGACAAATGAATTATGAAACTCGGTAGCCTCAACATATGTGACAAGTAGACAATTAGAAAAATATAACAATAATAATAACCTTCAACTTGGAAGAACATGTAAACCAAATACGAAAGAAAAATGACGATAATAAGCAAAATAATAAAACATGAAACAATGACACCGGAAACAAAACTTACCACGACTCCCATTCACAAGATTGTTTGATATTTTTCCCGAATTACTAATCTTCTCAGCTTTTGATGTTGCAGCCCGAAACAAACTCAACTTAAATTACCAAATATTCATGTTTCTTTAAAAAAGATGACGTTTTGCTCATAGATTCACACTTATCTCATTCAACAGTAAAGACATCCATCTCATTTAATAGTAAAGTCCTCCATCTCAGCATTTTTGGTGACTAAAAGAAATGAACATAAAAAAGGAGAGAAAAGTAAAAAAAGTGGGGGGGGAAAAAAAAAAAAAAAAAAAAAAAAAAGGGGGGGGGGGGGGGGGGGGGGGGTCACACTATAGAATTTTGTGGCATTTCTTTATAAAGGTTCATCTCTCAATATTTTTTCATTACTACCATATAAACAGTGTTCCCTATCCAAATAATCATTATGAATTTATAAACTATATTTCACCATTTATTTAGCAACCAGACACATTGCATGTCAAAGATTTGGTTCGAATGCACGCAAAAACTAAATCACTTTCCACTTTGCTGAAGCCGAAACACATAACTGGATCATACTGATGCTGAATAATCATTTTCACCATTTTAAATACGTCACTATCCTCGCCAGCTTTACCAACAACTAATTTTTTCTGCCATTTTCCGTTCTCCCCCTTATTCTATCACCTTCAGTGGCGGGAAAGGGCGCATATCCTCATGACTTTCCTTTTTCATCAACAGCTAATTACAAACCATTGCCTCTAGAAGAGAAGAAATAGTGTTGAAGGGGTGTTCGTCGGTAATCAGTATAAATAATATGACATGGTTGTTTGTGATGTTAATATTTAGTTTTAATCATGTTAAGAATCGATAATCACAATCCAATAAATTAATATAAATGAATTCATACCTGCGGAAGCCATTGTTAATATGAATAATAGTTGTAATAACAGACATGATCTTCCCCTCTTTACTTCTCACAAAATATCAATTATCAATGGGGCAAGCCAATAAAACATATAGAGAGGAGAGAGACCTAGCCTTTATATATAAGAAATAATTTGAGCCGTCCCATTACGACTAGAATTCTAATTAGGTTTTATTTTCGACCCACATACTTTAAATTACCACATCAAATTAATTACATCACGTAATGTGTAAAAGGCCCAATTGATCACTTAATAAATTTGGCTCAAACACAATTATCATTATGAGTCATATATCTAACCCTTAAAATTTTGTAATCGAATGTGAAGCTCACATATTGAATTATTAATTATTCCAACATTCTCCCACTTGGGCAAACATTTGATTACCATAACAAAGTTTTAACACCCGGGTTAGACTACAAAGGTGGCCACAAAAGTATAGCTCCAATGATGACACCTTACGTAACATGATCCGGTCCAACAAGAATATTAATACTGAACATGGAAGTCATTACACCAATTTAAGAGATGTAAGACCATTCCACAGCTATAAATGTCAACATCCTTATCGACATGGATCCCCATCCTCCAAACAATGTGGTAGTATGTGGTATGAACTTAGCACTAAATGTGATAAAAACTGTGCTAACTCATATCGGTCCTCATAATGCTTCGAATCAAAATGAAGCCACATGTCTCTAAAAGAGACTCATCTTATGTCTTTATACGTCATATTTCAAGATACCAATAATATAAAAAGACATAAGTCAAATGCATGCTTAAAATAGTTCATGGATAGGAGAAAAATTATTTTATTATCAGAAGGGGCTGTACCCAAAAATATATGGGTTGCCTACGTACCCCGCAAGGGATCAAGCGCAAAACGTTGTTCTTTACATAAATAACTCCCACTAACCAAAAATATCAAATGTTTCCACAATACCCATATTAGTAACATGTGTCTTAAAAACTTTTGGAGCGAGTCCCTTAGTCAAGGGATCTGCAACAATCGCCTCTGTATTGATATGCTCTATTTTCGTCTGCCTTTCTTTGACTCTGTCTCTAACAACCAAATATTTGATGTCAATATGTTTTGATCCACCAGAACTTTTATTATTCTTTGAAAAGAATATTGCTGCACTGTTATCACAGTAGATGGTGATCGGTCTTGAGATGGAATCAACAACTTTAAGCCAGAGATGAAATTTCTTAACCAAACGGCTTGAACTGTAGCCCCATAACATGCCACAAATTCAACTTGCATAGTAGAAGATGCCACTAGAGTCTATTTAGCACTTTTCCAAGAAATGGCACCACCAGCTAATGTAAAAATGTAACCTGAGGTTGATTTCAAATCATCTTGACATCCAGCAAAATCAGAATCTGAATATCCTACCACCTCAAGATGATTTGTACG